GCAACCTTGTCAGACAACAGTGCACGTCTTAGGTTGATCAGAAGAAGTGGATACTTGACGCGATATTTCATTAGGCTGGCGGTCGAATCGAGAACTGGAGGCACGAGGGTGAGGGACAGTGAACAGGACTGCTGGTGCTGCTGTGCAACCGGCACCTCGCTACCCCCGTCTCCACAGAAACGAGAGTGTCGATCGACAAACGGGGAGTATAGTTGATTTGCTGGTGTAGTTGGGCCGCTGCAGCTATCTTCCACCTGACTAGAGTTAAAAAGTTGGAAACTTGTTGAGTCACTTGCAACACACTGAAAACTTTCAGTCTCGTCAGCATCATCCTCCTCAGCCTTATTCTCCGTGGAATCTTCACTTGCTCTATCAAAAGATTGGTGAGTTTCAGAAAGTATGTTGGAGGATGCGCCGCAGGATGTTCTGTCACCTGAGGAAGCGCTACATGACGTGCTCACCGGATTTTCTACTAACGCTAACGAACCCTCACATGCACACTTCGTTTTCAGGCACTCTTCAAACAGTTTCATGGGGTCCTCAACCCGTCCTTGATATCTCGGCCACGGAGACGTCTCGTCTTCCTGTGGAGATCTTGTCGAAGCTGGTCGTGTTGAATGCATCACCTTGTGTTCGACTGTGTCTAGCCTAAATTTTATCCTATTTATGGCCTCCAGTAGGGTAGAGGCGAGCTCGGCCAACTGATGTCGGCATCAGGATGCCACCCACCAATGGAAAAAACCACGTGCTCAGGGTCTAATGCCACCACGAATCTAATCGATACAATGTTCAAATAATTTACACGCGAGGATCGCGTCAGTCGTGACCTATGCTATATGTTAGATAAGAAAGGAGGAGAGGTGTTCATCACATGAATCTGTTTATTTGTTTGAGATTTCGAAAGCGTGCACATTCCATCGCCCCCAGATAAGGGTGACAACAACACACATAGTAGTTACGCGAAAACTGAGCCAATCGGCGCGCAGAAATACTAGTCTATAGATGACTACACCGGACTGTTTATGCGGGGATTTACATTGAACGAGAGAACCGTTCTGAGGGT